GGCTTATCATTTGTGATGGGAAGTTAAACAACCAAACGAAAATATTACAAAGTAAACCTACTATTAAGAGGATAAATAATCACAGTAGATTTATTCTTAGAAATTTACAATAGTAAATAGAAACACTGCATTTTATCCATTCAGGGGGAAGAGCTTTTTTTCCATAAAAGTTACATTTTTTCTAGAGTGTAGGAACACAATAATAAAAACAAACAAATTGTAATGAATATGATAAGGAGAAAAATAATAACGCAAATTAAACCTGTGGTTACTTCAAATTTCAACTTCCAATATAACTGCCTTCATCTTTGCATGCTAGGTATAATAATAAAAGATAAAAGAAGATAGAAAATTTCTCTTAAAAAAGTGATTTGATTTAGAGACTCTGGAGACTACATGAAAATAAGTTTTGCAAGGACAGAGTAACTTGCGAGAGCATATTGTCGGTGTTTTTAGCCTTATCAGATAGATTGATGAGAGTACTGAAAGCTGTCTCTAGGCTAATGATGAAGATAAAAGACTGCTGGTCTCGAGAGTGACATGAGACAAGATGATACTCTTAACAATTGATTAAAAAAAAACCCACAAGGTTTTAAACTTGGAGATGTTTTTATGAATAAATATATGTAATATTTATAATCCGAACCGCAGAAGAAGTACTTTAAAGAAATTAAAACATGACAGAGAAATCACAAATGACTCTATGAACTAAATCATAAAGTGTAAAAACTATCCTGACAAGATTGGTTATCTTGGGCTTATATACCATTTATTATTTGAAATAAAGAAGATCAGGTGATGAAGTTTATTTTCAACAAATTATTTTTCTTATTAATTCTGATTTTTAGGCATTAAAAGAAAATTCACTTAAGGATTTATGTAAAATGTATATAAAATATTAATGAGTAAATATTTTTTTAATAAAAAACTATTTAAAAATAGATAAAACAATAAATAAAAATTCATATCAGATCAAGATAATGGAACCAATATGTAATATCAGAACGTAACTATTGGGAGACTACATCAAAATATGAGGAGGATCCTAAAAATGATGCAATTCAGAAACTTGGCTTAATGCTCTATCATTATAAGAATGATTTGAGCATATTCTAAATGTCAAGTAGATGTGGTATTTCGAAATGACACTAGCAATATATAGATGTTTGAATTATGCATTGCACATGTCCACTTTGATTCAAAATGACTAAAATACTCAAACCTCTTTTCCTTAGGACTTCCTATTAACCAGAATTCATTCAACTAATCATATCGCTCTTCAGATATGTATTTGAAATGTCTACATTAGCTGGTTATCTTAATTATTTTCAAGAGAGCATTGTTAGTTTCTCCATCATGAAGTTCATCATTGTGGGATTCCCTTACACTTACTAGGTGGCATTTATAACCTCATTCTTTTAAGAAATATTTGTTATTTATTAGTGATAATTTCATACCTGTATAGAATATAGTATGAACACAATCATCCCCTATCTACCTTTCCAAATTTCCCCATGCCTCATTACTAACTACTTGTCATATCCTATAAAATTATATCACAGGAGATATATATATCAACAACTTTCATTGTCATTATTATTAAGATAAATACTTCATGGTTACATAAAGCATTTTCAGTTTTCAAATACAAAGTTGATTTACTTAGAATAGGATCTGAAGCAAGAAGAGCAATGCCTAAGCTGAAAAGGGTGTTAGATGGACTTATTAAGCTCCTTAATTTGTATCGAAGAGTGAGGGTATACCAATTATCTACTGACATCAGCAAAGCCTCTTGCAGCTGGATTTCACTGATCATGGGAAAATGAGCTTTACTGAGTTAAAATGAACTCAGTCCTATTATTACTAACTCTCAAAGCCAGGAAATTATGATTTTTATCTCTCCTGTTCTTTTCACCCTGCAGTATTAACTCTTTTTCTTTGTCTTGGCTTTCTGCTACTGGGCATCTCAATAAGCAGAATGATTTGATTTGTCACCAAATGAGAACTTGGAGTTAATAAGGTCACATCAATCACATGGACCATGAGTTTTACTAGTCATAATGATGTTATTTAAGCAACATCATAAAACATGCTCTTGCGTAGACTGGTTCTGATAAAAACACTCTATTTTGAAAACAATAACATATTTACTTTGCTCAAATAAAGAATGTTAACAGGAGCAATCCCCAACATTCTCCATGTAATGGAAGGGATGAAGAACATGAATGCATTTTGTATAGACCAGTAAGACTCTCCAAAAAACTTACATGTTATTTTCCGTCCTTTATCAACAACTATGTCTGGTATGCACTTGGTAAAGGAAGCCACAATACTGTACTAAGAAAGCAAAATCTTCACTTTTACTGCTCTATGTAGGATGATTATAAACTAGCTCAGAGTTTGCAACTGTATTTAACTTAATCTATTCTATTTAAGACTGCAATACTATCCAATGACTTAAATTCCGAATTTCTCTGAAAATTATGACTAACTATATTGGGACAGATTGGTAATTAGAAATATTATCTTGACACAGCCATAACTTCATTTGCATGAGGCCATATGCAAATAGTTCAGAAGTTAAAAAAAGGAGTTTTCTATTTTAATATAGGTAAGACCGAGATTTAAAGAGTAAATGAAGAAAAGTGCAGCAAATGAAAATAAGACCGTGAGAAAAAGAAAATTATCATTTTTCATTAACCTCAAGACTAGGTTGCAATTCAGTGGCATCTAAATTTGGACCAACTGGGGATCAAATTATGTAGCTCCATGGGTGCCAGAAACCCCAGGGTTTACAAGAATCCTGAAGACGCAGGTGATGCTTTCATTTACAACCCAAGAATGGCTTTGTAGGCCTTTATGTCAGCATGGGACAATGCCTAGAAGTCTGAGGCACGCATCCATGTAATTGTGTGGTTAGTATGCTTTATAATAAATTTAAAAATGTTTTAGAAGCTAACCTGGCTTGAAGCTAAGCATTCCCATATTGTGCTCCCTTGGATAGAGCAAGACTTTCTTCTGTGACAGAGTTTATCTGCTCTTTCATGAACTTTGAAAGATGGCTCTTGATAGAGGAAACCACACTATTAATTCATAATAGTTAGCAATAGTATTTATTCTTTCATTAAAAGATATTTAAGCTGCTACTTTAATTCTAATCACACAGTATGTGGGGAAATACTTATACCTACAAAGCAATTATATTTTAATTACATTTTGGCTTAAGATTTTTAATAATAAAAGAATATACCTTGGTCAGTTCCCCTAACTTGTAAATGCAATTCTTATTATGTTATATATTATATTATATATATACATATTATCTTATATTTATTTATATGTAATACTCATATAATATATACATATATGTTTGATATTATTTGGCTTTGAATTATTGAAGAAATAATGTTGGAAAATACCATTAGTATACATTAGTTTAGATGGTACTTACTTAAAATAAGAGAAAATTTTCTTCAGAGCTTTGAACATGTCATTTACCATGCAACGAATCAATCAGTAGTGCAGACACTAGGGAAAGTACAAACAGAGTACAGAATACAAATTCCATGCCCAAATTTCTCCACACAGCAGGAGAAATCAGGCCAGGAAATGGACAATGGTATGTTTTGGATACATTACCAGTAACTCTGAAAGAAAACTACTTCTGCACCTCATCCCCTACAGAATTTCCTTCCCTGATCTAAGACCATAGATTCCAAAATATTTCTAAAATACATTTCTGTTTGTCTGTTTTATAAAAGCATGAAAACATACGAGCTTCCCATTTGCCTAGGTTTTCTTTTATAGTTTATGTCTATTTTCTGCACCTGCAATGTCTCAGAACAAATGGAATAATGTCTGGGATTATTATTATTTTTTTTGTGTGTGGATATAGTTTCTTGGTCTGTTATCTGAAACTTTGTTTCTCTTGGGTGGTAGGTTATGCCACCTGCCCACCCGGGTTCCTTCTGCACCTGTGAGCAACATCCTATGCTGTGACATGATGCTAAGCTCATTCCCATGTTGAGACTGTATTTCAGTGTAGAATACTGCATTAACAAAATGATGTTTTTGTTATCATTGTTAAGTATACAGTAGAGTTTAAAAAGTAATAAACAACCAGTCTGATACATGGATTTCAACGAAGTCAAAATAGCCAAATTTAGTTTTCCCTTTTAAAACACGGGGAATATGAATAAGAAAGTGTAAGTAGCAAGATATACCAACCCGTCTTGAAAGATATCTAAATTGTGTGAGCAAAGACACAACAGAATGGCTTAAAAAGAGTCCTGAAATATTCAAGTCCTGAGTTTGAAAATGTAAACCGAGCTAAGTTTGACTTTTCTAAGATGCCAAGTTTTTCTTATGCTCGTCACATTATAGATTTATAATACAATTCAGTAACATGAAACAAAACTCACCAATAAATTCCAGAATCATTTTGCTATTAAGCTATTACTAATCATAAAGTAATTTCACTTCTAGCCTATTTGTATTTCATCTTCTTCATTCCGAGCACAAGTTCAAAAGAATGTAATGACCTTGACAGGTCATTTAACTCATGATTCATTTATTACTGGAAAATGTCCATGTCTTAACAGGCAAATAAAGATAAATGTAGAATGACAAACTATATCAAGAATAATCCAAATGTGATGTTTTAGAATATTATTTTTAAAACGCCTTTTTATGTTGTTCAAGTGTAACAAGGATTGATTAATGTATATTATATAAACACATACTAAATTGTTTATGAATCAAGCTACTCTTCTATTATTATAATCAAAATTTTCCAGTCCTAAATGACAGGTAGAATATCATATGCACACCAAATATAACATTGTTCAAAGTAATTCTAAAATAAAATATATGATAACTTTGGAAACTTAATGGCATATACTTATAAAGAATAAAATGAACCAATTGCAGTTGAAAATGACAATAAAGTAAGACCATCTTTGATCCCAAAACAATAGATGTAAAATCATGGTGGTACTTACCACAGTGAAATTCATAACCTTCAATATCCATATTGTCATGGCTAAGTTAACTATCATGGTAACCAACAGCAGAAGGACAAAGAAGTATAAGCACCTCTTTCGCCATCCATAAATCCCCACAGGGTAAAGTTGTGCATTCTCAGTCCTCTGCAGGTTGTTCTGCTGTGTCGCTAGGATATATTGTTCTCGTGTCATCTGGAAAGAAAGAGAGAAAGGAAGAAAGAGAACAGGAGTGAAGGAGGAAGGGATGATGGTGTGAAGGAAGAAGATGGAGGGAGATAAGAAGTGTTTGGTGAAGGGAAAGTAGGAAGGCAAGTAAGCATGAAAAGGAAATTAGGGGTGAGGAGAAGAAGGTGAGGGGGTGGTTGAGCAAGGTAGGTATGAAGGAAGGAAAGGTGCAAATTTTATAGAGCAGAAAAGCAAGGGGAGGGAGTACGCAGAGAGGGAGGGAGAAAACAAGAAAGAGGGAGAAGAGAAAGGGGGAGAGAGAAAGATTAATATTAAACCAATCTTTAGTTTTTATATTTAAAATGTATAAAGCTTAAATGTATAAAGCTTAAAGATAATCATTGAATACTAATTATTTCTGTGTATTTGAAATGGAACAACAACCCTCAAATTGTTCTCATCAATGTTACCAGCACAACCTTTCAGTTGACTCTCCCATAAGATACACACTATTTCCAGGCATACCTATTTAATTCCCACGAAACACTTTTCTCTTTTGAGTCAATGGACTCTGAGAATTGAGTCCTGGTGCCAATGACTCAGCATCCCTATGCAATGACTCAGCATCCCTATGCAATGACTCAGCATCCCTATGCATCCCAAGATTCTTTACCTTTCTCTGAAAAGAGAGCACATGAATTGCTAAGTGTATATCTTTACATGAAAATATTAGCAGGTTGTCAAGAAAGTATGGGAGGAAAACACAACTAGCATGGATTTAGATATTTTCTAAATTTCATACCTTTAGGTAATAAACTTTGTCCTTATCACCCTCCCATTCCCTCTGCCATGTCCCCCTCCTGCTGACAACTATTTCCCAGCAAGTCCCCATCCTAAAGTGTTCTTTGTGTGTATCTGTGACCCACTGAGTTTAATTAGATCTTTTGTTGAATGGTTGGTAGAGTGTCATCTATTTGTTCAAGGGCAATTTATCAATGACCGCACCACTGAAGAAAATGGCACTTCCTTCCTTTCATCTGCTAATTCACAAAACTTTAATTCAGAACTTTGTTAGTTATTTGAGATATATTGAAATTTGTTGAAAAATATGGACTCTTCAAAGAGCACCAAGTCCCACACCATGGTGGGGTGGTGTGAACAAAAGATAGTTGTGGAAAAGGGAAGATGGTATTTCTTGGTAATAAATAAATTAAGGCCTAAAATTATTTCCGAAGGACAATAACTTGCTTATTGCCTTGGAAGCTATAATCAAGGGTAAAGAAATCAAAGACAATTTTCTGAGATAAATCTTAGAAAATACCATCAGTATTCACTAATAAAATTTTTAGCCTTTTAAAACTTTATATATTATGATTTTTAATAGAAATGTAATAATTTAACTTATAATTATGTCCCAAATGTATTTATTATCATTTGTATTTCAATTAAGAATTAATGACTGTTTAAAATAATAGATAATAAATTATACAAAAGTTAATAGTAAATTATTTTTAAAATAGGTAAGCACATGGTGCTATTTCATAAAGCAGTAAAAGACTCATTAAGAGTGTCTGCTTCTAACAATTATAAAAATGAATCTAGAATAGAAAACTAAAAATGTATCATTGAATTAAGCTTGTCTGTTGTTGATTATCATTTTAACTGGGCAAAGATATGTTACATTTTTTTATGCTGCAGAATATTGCTTTAACTGTGTAAAGGTGTGTAACTTTGGTTTATGCTGTGTTTGTTTAACTATGTAAAGATGTGTTGCATTTGCTTCTCCTTGCCTGCCTAGTGCACCTGATTGTTCTAATAAGGAAGCTGAGAGGCCACTACCTAGGCAGGAGAAAGATTAGGCAGGGCTGCCAGGAAGAAAGAACAGATAGCAGGAGAAATCTAGGCTCTCCAGAAGGAAGAAAAAGAAAACAGGGAGAAGAGAACAAAGTTAAAACCTCCTGGTCAAGAAGCCAGGCAGCCAGACACAGAAATAACAAGAAAGTATCTAAAGGTAATCAGCCCTGTAGCAAAAGGTAGATAAAGAGATACAGGTTTATTTAAGTTTAAAGAGCTAGACAGAAATGTCCCTAAGCTAGAATGAGAAATCAAAACTAATGATAAGTCTCTGTGTCATGATTTGTGAGCTGGTTGGTGCCCAAAAAGAAGTCTAGGTATACTTGTCCTTATCTATCTATGGAGTCAGGATTGTTTTCTGAAATAAAACTTGACTTATTACTACATATTCTTTTCTCATCACAAATACTTTAGAGCTTATACACTACCAAAATACAACAAGGCTATGGGTGCCTATTGAATTTTTTTTTTTTTTTTTTGCTAAATAGAAAATTCAAGTATTTACAAGTTTAGAAAGCTCTCCGTGACTGGAATAAAATGGCATTAGTCATCTCAGTACTCAGTAGAAGATATTAACAGCTGACAGCCCCAAAGTTGAAATCCTCACACCTGCTGTCTGGACACACTCTCCAATACCTTGGGTTTCTATGATCAAGAAAAATAATAGAAATATACTTTTCATTCATCCTGTGTTTTCATTCCAACTAACCCCCTCAAAATGCAAAGAAATATAGTTTGAGTGTGCCTCATCCAAAATACTTGGGACCAGAAATATTTTTGAATTCTGGAATTTCTGTGACTTTGTAATGTTTGCTTTTATTTATGAAATATGGAATCAATGCCAAGTGTAAACTTTATTGGTACTTCTTATACACTTAATATAGACAAGAAAGCAAATCAAGACATTTTAGTATCCATGTATTGGACTGAGACCATGGGATTTGAGGTGTAGAGTTTTCCACCTTGTTTACCATATGGACTATAAAATGATCAGTTCAGCCTCCTGTTGAAGAGTACAGAGTGAAAGACTGTCACTGTTTCCTGAGAGTCCATCACAACATGGCGAATCTCTGGTGCTTTTACTTTTTCTTTGGCAATATGAATTGAATACTCTCAAAAAGAACTCCCCTTCTTTTGCCAACTTAAGCTAATTAGGATATTCTCTGCCTAGATTTTATACTCTTTTTGCACAACTATCTCGCTTACACAAAAACCATTAGAATCCTTCAAAAGCCTAGTCTTTCCTAATTTCATAACCCCATGTATCAATCTTCTTAGGTCAAGAAACTAGAATCTCTGAATAAGGTAAAGGGATCTAAGTGATTCTCCCTGTAATTCAAAGCAGAACTACTTTAACTCTGGAGTTTTTTCTTTCTCTAAAATAAAATACAATCACCTTCAAAATTCTAATAATGGAATACAATTTTCATCAAGGCATTTAAAGCTTAAATCAAAGATGTATGGGCAAATCAAACTATATTTTGTGAGTTTTCAACTATTCCATTCAAAGGTGTAAATATATGTTTTCAAATCTAGTTATTCTCTATGTCTCTTATAAAACACAGCTCATTGTAAAACAGAAAAGAATGATTAATCAAGAGAAACTTAGCAAGATTCATGACTAATCATTCAACCCTGGGAGATTTTGGTGAAGCATTTTCAGCTAAATGAGAAAAAAATTACTTAGAGCAACAAAGTCCATTTATTACATATTCAGAGTGGTAGAGGACTAAAGAAGGGGGTAATCATCTAAACTAGTTTATCATAGGGATAAACTAAGTATTCCAACATATGTAACATGGGTATTAAAGTATTTTGAATAGGCTACCATAATTAGAAACAGAGGTAAAAGTGGCAAGAAGTAGGTTTTAGTTTAATCAAATGTTTATGAATTGACAGTTACTTGCAGGGTTATTTCATTATTTAGACATTTAAGGATTTAATATACTGTGAAAATTATAGTAGGAACAAATAAAAAGTAAGCTGTCAAAAACAACATGATTAAAGAAAATAACTATAATAATACAAGCAAAATTGTAGTCCACATATATTATATAGTATTAGATATAATACAAAATAATAATCATTGTTAAGATAAATTATAAACATTAAGTAAAGATATAGAATGTCTCACAAGGAAGTAACAGAGGAGTCTAAAATTATGAATGTCTTGTAAGAAAGGTTAATTTCAGTAAGCTTTTACAGACTTAGAATGCACTAACTACAAAGCTAAGACTAATCTGACAACTTTTGAGAAATAAGAAGAACAATCACATCAGTTTAGACATAAGAATGTGGAATCAGTCAGGCTTTGGAGGATTAGCTTGGGATCAATTCAAGTTCACATCCAGCACAAGAGATATAGAAAGGAAAATGAAAGAGTAAAAGCAATACAGGAGTAAGTCATACTTGTGATAAAATTGGGCTCAAAGAATGACTCACTTGATAGTTGATAAACTGGAAGTAGTGCCAATGGACCAGCCACACACTAAGATCATGTAGAAGTATATGATTATAATAGATTCAGTACCTATCCCTTGATCCTAGTCACCAGGATTTTGGTGCTGAGAAACAGACAAGAACAATTGGGAATGGAATTCACTTTACTAATTTCATTCATCAGGTGCCTGCCTCAGATGCCATAGTCCTAAAATCAGCCTTGTCTTCATTATTCTTACAGACTTATTTTTCACTTAGATGTTGGTGCCTTGGACCTAGATCTGTAGGGGTTGGTACAATCTTCAGTTTCATACCCAAATAATTATTCCATTGTTTTCATGAGGTTCGATTATCATTTATAAATGTATATGAAGTTGAATGCAAAACATAGAAAGAATACAGATATTGAGGGCCTATATCGGCCAATTCCATTTGATCACTAGTGATAATCTGATGCTAAAGATAAACACAGAATCAAATTATATGTTAAAAGTAATATTCAGAACTGAAATCATAGTTTTCAGAGTCACATTTAACAGTTTTATTATACAAATCACATAAGCAAAGGACTGCAAGGAATACATAAATTAGATGCTTATTCTCTACAGTACTTTGATTCCATTACTATAAATATAAACGAGACATCTAATTTCTATTCTACCTGTGTTTCCTGTTAAAGGAAAACTGAATATGAGAGAGAAGCATGAGTCTTATGCACACAAAAAAACTAGGTA